GTATCTCATGCTACAAACCATCACAAAGTTTAAGATTGACAGGAGAGACCCTGCTCTCAATCCCATCGCTTTCGCAAACGTGGTTGGTGGGGATGAGAGACAGGGCCTTCTTGGCAGTTGCCCCCCATCTGTGGAACTCTCTCCCTAAGGACATTGGGTTGGCCACCTCCCTCCTGTCCTTTAGAAGACAATTAAAGACTTGGCTTTGGGACCAGGCGTTCGATTAGTGGACAGCAGCAATTGGAAAGAAAACTTAGGATATCTGCGACACTGGTTTTATCCTGACTTGGATTTGATTTTAATTAGCATGCTTAATTTATTGTTTACTGAATTGTATAATGTGTTTCTAATTATTGTTAATGTTTTAAATGTAATTTAATTGGTTATATGCTGATAGCATCATATGATGCTTGTGTGAGGCTGCCCTGAGCCCCCCTTTGGGGGGAGAAGCGCGGGGAAGAAATGCATGAAATAAATAAATAATAATAAATAAGACCACAAATATAAGTGTTCTAGGGATAAGCATTTAATTGATCTCTTGTTTTTACAATGATAAAAATTTAGAAACTAATGGAAAATTACATGAGGAGGGGGACAGAAACCTTACTTTGAGTGAAAATGCCCTTATTTTGCTTGACTTCCATAACTACATTAAAGCTGGATGTCAGAACCACTTTAAAAACTTGGCACTTTAAATTGTAGTATTTTGTTAAACATTTATTTCAATGCATCTTCATCTATTAATGAAAGAATGCACATATAGGAAGGACACATTTTTGGGTTTGAACCTAGAATTACAGGACATTTTCACCTTCTAATGGTGTTGAAGTTCACAAAAATGTGAACCAGATCTATTCCATTTATGCATAGTACTTCCTTATTGCTGGGAAAAAAACTGTCAAGAGCTACTTTTGCATATCCTAGACTGACATCTAGAGGCAAATACAGAGAACATTGCTACAATGCAGTGTGAGGCAAGCATTTAAATGAAGAGGGAGTGGAAATGGGCTTAAAAGTATGGACTCCACTGCTTTTAACATGTCAATTAAGTTAGAACAGGTCCCAGATAACTGAGGCCCAAGACAGCCGGTCAATTCATATAATTGTCAGCAATCAATGTAATTAAGAAAGCTCCAATGGCATAATTGTAAAGAATTAAATAAGAAAGCTGCATCTCGTGCCCCAATTGTACTCTGTATGTGTGCAACTAAGCACCTAGAAAATCTAAGATACCAAAGGCAGACACATTTAAAAACAACTGGGAAGTGGATTCAAGTCATAGGATAAATTGGCAACACATAAGCACATCACATCCTTCATGTAACATTGTGCAACATCTGTATGGAAGACTGTAGGCAAATCCCAACAATGCATGGGCACATGTGGACTGTTCATAAAGCCCATAAATATATTAAGAAATTTAGCCTGAAAAATCAGCTGAAGTCAAATGTGTATCCTATAACAATAACTAAAGTTTAACTTACAGGAACTTTAAGCCATATTTTCTTGTTCCTCTTGGGAAAAGGGATTCAAAGCTCATGTATTCTAGGGCAGCACTGTAAGGACCTCTTCACATGGGCTAAAATGCTGTGGTGGCAGCAATGGTATTTTTGCAATTTTGTCACAGAGCCCACTGGCTTCCATCACACACAGTAAAAAGTACTTCCATGCAAACTTCGTGGTGAAAGTGCAAAAAACCCCTGCCATCACTGACAAAAATTGTTGGTGGCACACGATGGAAGCCTTACCATCTTTCCATAAGAAATGATGGGTTGACCCAGCTTACAGAGACTTCCCACTGTATGATGAGGTAGAGGGGAAGCCAGGATGGTACAAGGCATCACATCCCCATGCCTCTGGGTGCTGCCAAGATTGCCGCAATCCGCAGTGACACTCAGCGATTCCGGTGGTGCATGTTATGAGGTCCTATGAGTCATAGAATCATAGAGTTGGAAGAGACCTCATGGGCCATCCAGTCCAACCCCCTGCCAAGAAGCAGGAAAATTGCACCCCCAACACATGGCCATGCAGCCTCTGTTTAAAAGCTTCCAAAGAAGGAGCCTCCATCACACTCCAGGGCAGAGAGTTCCACTGCTGAATGGCTCTCACAGTCAAGAAGTTCTTCCTAATGTTCAGGTGGAATCTCCTTTCTTTTTAATTTGAAGCCATTGTCCCGCATCCTAGTCTCCAGGGCAGCAGAAAACAAGCTTGCTGCCTCCTCCCTATGACTTCCTCTCACATATTTATACATATATGTCAATATTAGGAAAGAATGAGAAAATCTTTTCTAGGAAAAATAATTATGGTGATCAATTTTAATAAAGTAGGCAAAGGAATATGTGCATTTATCTGACAAAGTTGTTTAGTCATATCTGGGCTACAAAGTATACAACAAATAGTTGGGAGAAAAGAGAATTAAAGGACTTATCACCTCCACAGAGCTAAGATGCTGGTAGGAATACCGGTAGTCTTGCAGCTTCTTTTAGCCAGGTGTGTCTTTTTGTTCGTGGCTTTCTTTCCAAAGCAATTATCATGCTGTTTAGACTTACTGCCAATGGGCAGGTGTTTTATTCACAACTTATAAAATAAAATCTTATATTTATTTAATTTCTCTGTTTGAAGGCTTTTAATGGTTGATTTTGAGAGCTTACTTATAGACAAGGAGAAAGTTTTGTTTAAATATACATTGAAGCACACTTCACACACATACACTTTAATATGTGTTTTTAAAAGAAAAAATATATATATAGATGAACCTAACAAAATAAAACCAGCAATCTTTGGAATAGTGGAAAATGTTATATCCAAACAGAACATTATCATAAATTGAAATCTGTCTTCCTATTATCAACAGGCAAATGACATCCAGAAAGAGACCTGGCATTCATTTGAAAGGATGAGTGTTGACTTGAGAAGTGATGTACTGAAAAATTCATATATATTAAATTATGTACTTAATATATACCTCTGTGATATATATATCAGACATGGTCAGCCGCTCTGTTCTTTCATTGCAAAATCCCATATATTTTCATACAGTTGATCATATCTAAATGAATTATTGGTTCATTTATGGGCAATCTTTGAAAGTATTTTCAATAGCTACCAAAACTTTGACTATGTCCTAGTGAAGTTTGTCAGTGAGATTTCCCCAGATTTAGGGTTTGGAATTAAATCTTCATATAATGACTTACATCATATTGTTAGTCCCTCACTAAACAGAATTAAAATGTGTTTGTGTGTCCTTGGAAAACTTAATCATTTTTTTCAAGAATATAAACTGATGGTAAGAATTGAATTATTTTCACTAAGCTTTGTTGAACACATGGAATGTCTATAAATAAATAATCCAAGATTGCTTTTGTGGGGGGTATGAGTCAGTGGTTCAACACATATTTTTGCATATAACATGGGAGAAAAAATAATCTTATCTGAAACTCCTGAATGCTTCAGTATGTCAGTGTCAACAGCAATGGGCTAAATGGATCAATGGTCTGTCTCAGCATATCTTCAGATCACAAAACACAGCTTAGTTATGCCTTAATATTAGGGCGTACTTCTGTTTTTGAACAGCAGAAAACAAGATTTGCATTATATGTGAAGGAGTTGGGAAAGAGTTTTAAAAAATTGGCCAAGATTCTAAATCACAATTTGTGAAAATGTATTGTTGATAGATGAAACATACCATGTTGAGCACCCTCAATATTATGCTTTTCTTTATTTCTTCACCAATTCTGGTTCACAGTCATATTTCCACGTACCCTCGTAACTGCCTTTCTGAACGTCTATATCATTATTTTTATTACCATCATTTCCAACATTAAAAAACAAAAAGGAAAATATAAATACATGGAAAACAACCAGTTTAGGAATAGCAAAGAAGAAGCAGGAGAAGAGGGGAATCCCACCTGTGACATCACTTTGCTGTTACTGCTTACTGGCACTTTGCTGTTACTGTTACTGTTACTGGCTTACTGGTATATGTATGTATGGAAGTTTAACAGGTATATGGATTAATTTTGACTCTTCAAAAGAACCAGCACTTAAGAGAAGAAAACAGACTTGCAGGACGCAGCTCATTTCCAAATAGCCATGCTGCTGCTACCATATCAGTGTCATGAACACTTTTGGAAAGGTTTGTTTCTTTTCCTTTTCCTAATTGGCCTAATTCTCTTGCCTTTTAATGCTTGATTGTATTGCATTGTTAGAGACGTTTTGACATTGTGAGCTATTTATTTTATTTTTATGTAAGTATTTGCATTTAAGATTATATATATATATATGTATGTATATATATATATATATATATATATATATATATATATATATATATTGCAAATACTTACATAAAAATAAAATAAATAGCTTAAATACAACACACATGAATAATGGGAATCTCAGTTAAACCTGTCCAAGGATGTTACCATTATTCTATGTTGTGACGGCAAAATTCACAGTTTCACTGTGTGCTCTGTGAAAAAGTACTTTTTTATATCTATTATGAATTTCCTTCCAGTTGTATTCTAGGAATGGTCCTCTGTAGAAGATGCAATTTTGTTCATCACTTAGGGGGGTTCTAAACAGTAGAATTAATGTATTTTGATTAACTGCCATGGTTCAATATGATGGAATCATTTGAGTTGTGTTTTTATAAGACTGTTAGCCTTCTAATGCCAAAAAAACTCCTGATGGCTGATGAAACTAAAAATTTCAGAATTCTATGGCATTGAGCCATAGCTGTCAAAACAGCATCAAACTGTATCAATTCTATTATGTCAATGCACTGTTAGTGCGTACGCAACATTCTGATGAATGACACATGGAAACTGGACATCAGAAGTCACTCCTACCAGAAGTTTCATTTCTGCACATACTATTTTGCCCATTCATCTTCTTTTCACCAAGTGTACATTAGGCAGAAGTGATGGGTGGTTGCAGCTTTTAGTCTTGTTCATATTGACTTACAAAATACTGAAGTAATTTCTTTCCTGTTGCTATAGGTATCTGGGGTTTAACCATCTTTTTAGTGGCAACTGCAGAGGTTCAAGTTAACCACAATATCCCATATTGTGTACCAGGACCCCAAGGTCCTCCTGGACTCAGTGGAAACCCTGGTCAGAATGGATTCAATGGAGAAAAGGGAGAGAAGGGGGACCCTGGAGAACAAGGTATATTTCTGGACCAATTTAATATGAAGTATGTTTTCAAGAAGGATTATAATGTTTTTGGCCTCTTTTTAATGACCGATACTTCCTCTTTCACAAAATACCTGTCTGTCTGTTGCCTACGGCAAGGGACTAGGTGAGATAAGATATGGGAATGGTAGATGCTACACAGACATCCTACAGAAAAGGGGAATAATTGACAATAATTGATGCTAAATACTGGTGAGGCGAAGGAAGAAATTAGAGTTTGAATAAAAGTGGCCGTTAATGCTGGAAGAGTTGAAGATTTAAGGAATAATGAGATCAGTCACTTAAAGTTGAGGACTCGGTCACTTAAAGTTGAGATAATTAAAATCAAATTATAGGGGAAAAGAGAAATGTGGAGCTGTGCCAAAGGATACTGGATGGAACACACTCCATATATGACAGTGGGTTGGCTCTGTGTTACGGGAACTGAGATTGGTCAAAGGCTCTTTTGTCGATGCTTCTGACATGATCCAAGGGGGAGACATCATGGAGAAAGGGGGGATTTAAATGTTAACTTCACTGTATTGTGTGTATGTCTTTTGATGGTAAGAACATCCTTAGGCTCCTTCCACACAGTTGTATAAAATTCACATTGAACTGGATTATATGGCAGTGTGGACTCAGGTAACTCAGGTGACTCAGTGGATTATCTGCTTTGATATTTTAGGTTATGTGGCTGTGTGGAAGGGCCCTTACTTGCAAGTAAGAAGCTTTGATAAAGTATTTTACAGTTTCACCAAACATTTATTGTCCAGAGTTTTATTAATCATAGGCTCTAAGGTCCCTTCCACACAGCCCTATATCCCAGAATATCAAGGTAGAAAATCCCACATTATCCGAGTGCGGACTCAAAGCAGATATTGTGGGATTTTCTGCCTTGATATTCTGGGATATAGGGCTATGTGGAAGGGCCCTCAGGACCCATTTCTAACACTGGACTTCTCTACACTTAAGCAGGGACAAAATGTGTCCTTTCCTGAAGATACAGGGAACAATTTTAGTAAAAGAAAAATTAAATATATTTACTTTTTACAGTTGATGTTTCAGTGGAAGTCATATGTTGCCCCTCCATCTTGGGTAGTTGTTTACTGCTGTACAAGAATATACTGTGATACACAGTGAAACCAATAACTGACTTTCTTGACATGTTAGCAATGGTGCAGTTAGGTAATTTTGGACTCGGAATTACTGTAATAATGTATTAGAGAGGCCTTTCCTGACTTTATTATATATATGTTGTTAAGATGATTTTCTGACCTTTGCCCAGGTGACATTACCATAGGTTAGAAAACACTTCTAGTAATGAACAATCTCAGTCTTATCGTTATGCAATGTGGCTTAGATTTGGGGCTTGCTGCAGCACATTAAGAGGCTTTTTTTCAGACTTTTCCCCAACTTTGCTTCACACACTTTACTATCCTAAACCTGTACTGCAGCGGGCTTTGACAGCATGGATTATTTAGCTAGTTCCAAATTGCATTATATGGTCAATGTAGATGAGGCCTTGGTGAAAAAAATATGTAAGTGGCCCTTTATTTCAGCAATTTTCTTGAATTACCAGTAATTTTATCCCATGATAGGCTGCAGAGCCCAGGTGGTGCAGTGGGTTAAACTGCTGAGCACCTGTACTTGCTGATCGAAAGGTTGCAGGTTCGAATCCAGGGAGCGGCGTGAGCTCCCGCTGTTAGCTCCAGCTTCTGCCAACCTAGCAGTTGGAAAACATGCAAATGTGAGTAGATCAATAGGTACCGCTCCGGCGAGAAGGTAACAGCGCTCCATGCAGTCATGCCAGCCACATATCTCTACGCTCTTTGGCTTAGAAATCAAAATGAGTACCAACCCCCAGAGTCGGACACAAATTAACTTAATGTCAGGGGAAAACCTTTACCTTAGGCTGCAGAATCTTTAGAAGCCAAAGTACACTGTACAAGAGATAGCAATGTGTGGTCAATATGGCTACAGTTATTAATGAGGAAGCAGAAACCAGGAAATCCAGCAACCATTTGCTTTTGGCTGAGCCTAATGGCAAAGGCAAAGATCCACTCTTTCCTCTCCTCTCCTCTCCTGCTTCTATTTCCACTATCTACTTTGCACTTTGAATTCAGTTAACAGGGGCCTTTAAAAAGCAGCTGAAATTGTGGGAAGGCAGAAAATGAATCTGAACTATCTCTGTCAAATTGGGACAGTTTGAAAGTATGCACACACTTTAGGGTCCTTCCACACAGCCAAACAACCCAGAATATCAAGGCAGATAATCCACAATATCGGCTTTGAACTGGATTTTCTTAGTCCACTCTGTAATATACAGTTCAAAGCAAATAATGTGGGATTTTATACAGCTGTGTGGAAGGGGCCCCAGTGCTGAAATTCAGAGCTATTTTGTCCCTTCCCCCCTACTTGTTTTTTTTAGGTGCTGCTGGATCTCCTGGAATCCCAGGGTTTCCTGGAAAACATGGACCAACTGGACCAAAAGGTGAACGTGGAGACAACGGTACTCCTGGTCTTCCTGGGTTGTGCCAACCACAAATGAAATCTGGTTTTGCAGCACAGTTGGGGGCAAATTATCCAGTTCCTAATGTGCCCATTGCGTTTCATAACATAATTTACAATGAACAACAACACTTTGATGCAGCTACAGGAGTCTTCACCTGCCAAATCCCAGGAGTCTATTTCTTTGGCTACAATATGGAGTCAACCAGGAATTCAAATATCATCCTAGTGAAAAATGGTCAAGCAGTGGTGGCAACCTACCAGATTACCCTAACTGGTTATGAAAACCTATCTGGAAGTACAATAATTAGATTGGAGGAAGGTGATAAGGTGTGGTTAGAAGTAAAACCAGATTACAATGGAATAACACACACCAGTTACTTCTTGGGTTATCTTATATTTGTGTCGTAGGTTATGCAGCCTTTAGAATCCTGATTCACTGTTATGGAACCTTTCTTTAAAAATGTAGCCAGCTGATTTGTGTCTCAATTTAGCTCTGTGATCTGAGGAAAGCATGAATATGTTTTCTGTTTCTGCGATCTTTTTCTCCTTCAATGTATCAGAGGATGTAGATCTGCTGCCCTGGCCATTCTACATATTAGAATGCCTGCTTGATTTAGAAGCCTGATTGTTCAAAGGATAGACGGAAATTCAAACAACAGATTGCAGATTATAATTACTTAGATGTTTCAGTCTATCACTAGGGGGTTGAATTGGCATAATAGATTCTTATCACACTACCTGTGCTAATTGGTTACCAAGTGCCAGAATGTTTATGTTATCAACATTCTTGTGAATAGCAAGTGTTAATAATGTAGCTGTCACTGTCAATGTTTTAATACTTAATGTCATTCTGACTACACCATTCTCATCTCAAACATGAATCGGACACACACATATGTATGCCCCTGAAATTGTGGATAACAACAACAACAATGCTTTATTTCTAGACTGCCCTCTCTCCTGAGGGGACTCAGGGCAGTTTACATACATTTAAAATGGCAAACATTTAATACCACAATTAACATCACACAATATCAAAAATGTAAAATAGACAATTAATAGACTTACTACCAAAAGAGAACTGAAATTAAGTAATAAAAATGTAGATATTAAATAGAACATAATTTCACTAATAAAACATAATTGCACAAAAAACATATATCCTAGACAATTAAACGACTGAAATGTAAGCATTGCCTGATCTTAGTTGTAATTTAAAATAGACAGCAGCATCCAAAAAATGCTGAGTACTAACCCTGCTCCTCTCCGTATGCTAAGTTACATCGCTATGTTTTCAGAAGTTTTCTGAAGGAGAGGAGGGTGGGGGCCATTTTAATTTCTTTAGGAAGGGAGTTCTAGAGGTGGGGAGTGAATATGGAGAAGCCCCACTCTCTCATCTTCACCAACTGTGCTTGTGACGGAGATTGGACCAAGATAAAGGCCTCCTCCGCTGTGCATGACGTGGTCTATATAGGGAGATGCTGTTAAACAAATAGCCTGAACCAGAACCATTTAGGGCTTTATAGGTAATGACCAACACTTTGTATTTAGCCCAGAAGCAGACTGGCAGCTAGTGGAGCTACCATAACATGGGATTGGTTATCTCCCTGTATGGAGCCCCAGTTAGTAACCTGACTTCAAAGGCGGCCCCACAAAGAGAGCGTTGCAGTAGTCTAAGCAGAATGTAACTAAGGCATGGACTACCAAGGCCAAGTCAGGCATCTCAAGGTACAAGCACAGCTGGTGCACAAGTTTTAACTGTGCGAAGGTGCTCCTGGCCACTGCTGACACCTGGGGCTCCAGGATCAGTAATAAGTCCAGGAACACACCCAGACTGCGAACCTGTACCTTCAGAGGGAGTGTGAACCCATCCAGCACAGGTTGAAACCCAATACCGTGTTCTGTCTTTTGACTGACCAGGAGTACCTCTGTCTTGACTGGATAGGTAATATTTGAAGAAGTGGACTATAGACCTTGAAAATCCATGCTGAAATAAATTGTGTGAATAACCTACTTGTGTAGTACAGGGTCCCAGCTGCAGACTCCGGCAGGAATTCTGTTAGGGTTTCATATTTTATAGTCAGCTGTGCAACTTCATGGGACATTTTCCCAGTCTGCGAAGGGAGGTTTCCAAAACCTTCTTATGCAAGCATTTTCTCAGGTGATTCCATAACCCACAATTTTTCTGGGAAGATGTGTAGGGAGAGCGCCTGCCTGTCATCTCCTGCCAGTACAGCTACATTGTTTTCCTCCAAATTCCTACATTCTTAGCAAGAACTCAGCCAAGAATTGATAAGAAACACTAAGTTTTTTAAAAAGAAAATCTTTGACATTTAATCCATAAAAAAACATTTTAAATAACTTATTGGCCGAGATTGTCCATCAGAGACTATGATGTATAACTTGAGGGTGATGGATGGAGTTATGTTGCAGACAAAACAGGCAAAGAAGCCACTGAATCACAGTAATGCAAAATAGGATGCTATGAAAGTAGGCCCATGTCCTGATGTGCAAAATGCCCCATTGCATATTGGGATATTTTAGTATTAGGACTCACTGTGAATTAGTACTGCTTTATAGTGCCCATGCTGCTGTTTTCATTTATGCAATGGGCCCAGAGATGTGGATATGATTCTGCTTCTCTCTGAAGAATATGAATGTTGTGTAGCACTGCAATTCCCCTTTATATGATCATAAATCATTTTACTATGATACAATTACCTAGATAAATAAGTTAGCACCAAACTGACATATTCTGGTGTTGCTAATAAAAAGATACCAACTCTCAATTTTATGAAGGAAGGTAGGCTATAAATAAATACATAAATAAACAGTGCAGCCAAGTATGGGAAATTTGGACTGGAATTTATGGAGACAAATTTGGCTACAATTGAATTTTATACCTAAACTCCCATTCAAAAGCAAACAAAAGTCATAAACAGTTGTGTTTAAGTTGTTTTTGGACTATTAGGCCTCACTTTCCAACACTTGGGTTGCTGTTATGCATTTTATTTATGAATAGAGATGCATTTTTTTGCTTTTAACAAACAAACAGATAATGCAAAACAAAACAGGCATTAAATTTCAACATTTACATTTTGTTCCAGATAGTTTTAGGCTTTGCACTGGATGAAAATAAAATCCAATGAACTGAAATGTATTAGAGAAGAACATACCAAACATAACTTCTCAGGAAAATAGTTCTAGATCATTGACTATTTAAACCATCATGATGACTTTTGAAACATCCCATTACATGGCCAGACATTTGGGAGTGATCTCTTAACACAATAACTTAAACTGCATAAATGTTTTCAATCATTTTCCTCACCGTGGCACAGATCTCACATTGGCATACTATTATCCAACTATGTTATATGGCTAACAGCTGATATTAATGGTGTATAAACTGTCATCTTTAATGTGTTGTTAAAATTCGATTTTATTCAATAAATAACTTTTTTAAAAGACACTCAGAAAGTCATTACACAGTATATAGGGAAGCTACACTTCAGGCATGAGTAAAAGTCCTGAAAAATTGCAGGGACCTACTTGCCATTCAGCTTGTCTTCAAAAAGCCAATGCACATTTTGTAAATTTCACTGCACAAATCTGCACCCTGAAACCTTCTTTCAGGATCTTTTTGTACTTGCCTCTTGGTGACAGCCGGTCGTACATTTCTTAGAAAGGTACAAATCCCCAACACAATAGCAGAGAAAATTCAAGCAAAGCCATGTAACTAAGAACTGACAAAATTGATGCCCAGAGACAAACTGCTGACATTTAGTATGGTCTTTAAAAAAAGACACTATCCTTGGTTTCATTTCTGAGATGAATAAAATGACAGGAACCAAAGACCTTACACTACCATGGATCTTTTCTCCTGTTCCTGGAAAATGTAGTTTCTACTTCTTTTGATGGGTATCCCATGCTTGATGGTGGCTTACCATTTTCTCAGGCTCCTGAGGTGATTATTTTGATGAAGTGTTTTCATAAATCATGCTCCTGCTGGAATGTAATAAAGATTCTGGAGAAAAGGCAGAAGAAACCTGCACTGCCTCGTGTAAATCAGAGATATATGAGACTTACTTACATGCTTAGGTGAAAAATTCCAGAATAATGACATGAGCTTTACAAAAGGTTTGACATATAGTTCCACACGTTTAATAATCTTGGCAAATGTACCTTCAAATGAGAAATGTACTGGATGCTAAATATTGTCTTCTCACTTCAACCAGTCACTTCACCGCTCTGTGGAAAGCAAGGTCCTGCTTCCTCCCACTTTCTTGCCATTCATCAATCAATGGAGAAAATTCATGGAGAGGGCTCTCCATTTTACATCTTATTTTAGTTCCTATTTCAAAAAGGGTATTTTATGTCATTGGCCTTTTTAATGCCCTAATTTATGAGATCATTGGTAAAACTATGAGGAAGAGAAAAAGGGTGTGACCAGCTTCAGTTGTAACAGAGAAGTACAATATATTCAGGATGAAGTAAGAAGTACCAATTCCACCAAATTTCTAGTTTCTTTTCAGATTCCAAATGGACGTTGAGATGTACCCTAACTCTGCAATTTGCTTGGAAAGGGGAAAATTGGCTGATAAGTAGCTCACTATAACTCAGGCTTAAACTTTATGGAGACCCATGGGCACCTCATAGCAAGGTCATTAATCCCTCCCTGCAATTTTGGAGTGGGACTAATACAGTGGGAGCATCTACACTATGGAATGAATGCAGTTTGACACAACTTTAACTTTCTTGCTCAATGCAATGGAATAATAGGAGTTGTAATTTTACAAGGCAATTAGCCTTATTTGCCAAAGAGTGCTGGTGCCTCTCCAAGCTATAGCTCCCAGGATTTTATTGCATTGAGCCATGGCTATTAAAGTGGTGTAACCTGCATAAATTCTACAACATAGTTGCACCCTATGAAACAGTTGGGCAGTCTATCCATTTGAAAAATTCTTTTCATTTGTATCCCTTCTTCTATTCATCAAGCTTCTCATGAAATGCAAAATAACCAGAGATCCACTCTGATCTGAGAATTACCCACAGCTGTCAGCCATTTGAGTCTGTGCAAAGGAGAAAAATCCTTCTCATGTTCTCCTTTCCCTCTTTGTAGTTTACAACTAGTAACATGTTCCAAAGAGAGCCCGTTGAATACCTCAGAAGCAAAATATGATCACATTTCCCTCTAGGAAAGGAAGAGTTTAATCATCTCTCCAAAAGAAAAGAAGAATAACGTGTGTATGGGCAGAAGCACCTGCCCACAACTCTTAATTTTTCATCTGCTTGAGAATGCCCAGAATAGAGCTCAGAAGCAATTTTCTGGTGGAGTATTCAGACCTAGAGTGCAGTTGGTTGATAAATACAGGGTAATTCTAATTTTAAGAGGGAGGAGTTTGTTT